AGGACCCGGATTGTTGGGGGCAATATGCTGACTCTGTAAACCGCTTAGAGAGGGCTGAAAGCCCTATGAAGCGGTATATAAGTCTAACTGCTACTGCTATTGCTGTACTGGAATTCAATATAATTTAAACACAAGCAATAGAATATAATCCAGCCAAACTCAGAGAGAGCTTAAGCAAAATTTCCTGGATAAAAATCCTAAAGGGGAAAACAACTCAAGAAGCATGGGAAACACTGAAAAATATGATCATAAAAGCCTAGTCCAACACAATATCACTGAAAAACAAAAATGAGAAATCCAAAAAGGATCCAGCATGGTTGCACAAAGATTTATTTCATAATGTCAGGATCTCCATCTGGTGCCTTACCGGCATCCTGCCATAAAAGGGAAAGGGAGGAGGAAGCATTTAGGGTAATCCACATCTATGTAACTGATGGTGGAAAATGGGGAGGGAAGCTGACATGTTTGTACAGGTTAGGCCGAGCATCTTCAAGGCCACTTGCCCTGGGTGTGAAATTCCAGCATCCTAAACAATCCAGAGTTTCCCACAACATTGTGGTGATCCTGGATTGGTTGGCAATGGGCTAAACTTTGGGGGAGAGATGAGGGTGCCTTTTTGTATCAGATTCCACCTCACCTTCCTGTAACTGACATCTTTAGTAAAAGTTCTTTTCACTTCAAACATTTGGAATAGAGAGTTTGCTTCCCTAAATGATTGTTTTGGGCAGGTCTGATAGATAAATTGAAAGACAAAAAGGACAAGTACAAAAAATGGAAAGAGGGGCACATAACTAAGGCAGGATATCAGCAGATAGTCAGAATTGGCAAAGATGAAGTCAGGAAAGCAAAGGCTCAGAATGAACAAAGACTTGCAACAAAAGTCAGATACTGTATTTTTAGGATTACAAGACACACCTGACTATAAACAATGCACTGAAATTTAGAAGAGGGGGAAAAGGATTTTGGCTTTGACATGCCACATTTTCAGCCCTTTTGGGAGGCTTTTTGGCCCTTTTCCAGCCTTTTTTAAAAACCATTTTGAAGGCTTTTTGGCCCGTTTTTAAGGCTTTTTTCAGGCCATTTTTCAGGCTTTTTTGGTCCATTTTTTATAATTTTTGGGCCATTTTTAAGGCTTTTGGGGGCCATTTTTGATGTTTTTGCAGCCCATTTTCAAGGATTTTTTCAGGCCATTCCCCCCCCCCCAAAATGGACCAACAAAGCCTCAAAAATGGACCAAAAAGCTTAAAAACAGCCCAAAAAGGCCTGAAAATGGGCATTCAGAGGCCAAAAAATGGGAGGGCAGGGCTTCAGCAGTATTCGATCTATAAGACACAAAGACACTTTCACCCCCTTTTGGGAGAGAAAAAGGTGCTTCTTATAGTCCAAAAATATGGTAATTTAAAAAAAAGGTTCTTTCAACATATAAATAAGAAAAATATCAAGGAAGCAACGGGTCCACTTAAGACAGAAGATGCCAAGGAAGCAACAGGCAGCAGAGAGGAAGCAGCACATTTGGTGCTTAGCACAAGGGATCACTGCAAGTCTTGCCTTCATTCACTTGCTCAAGTCCTGGAGCAGAACATTCACTCCCAAGCTGGGGAGCCTGAAATTCAGACTCCACAAGCTGAATCTAAAGGCCTTTGCCCACTCTCACCTACCCAGGCTACATACATGCCCTGGCAACCTCTTTTTCTGCCCTGCCCTCA